CATGCTGCCATCCCATTTTAAATATTTGCCCTCTTAGTTTCTCTCTGCCTTTGCGATCCTTTTCCTCTGATTGTTCCTCCGAAGGGCTCTGGCAGCTCTGTGTAGCTTTAGAATCTGATCCCATCTTCAACTGAGGAATTCAAACGCGCTTGTGTAATGAAGAGAACGTTGTTTTAATTGTCTAAACTTAACTTATTTTGAGAGGTGATCTGTGGAGATGTCCGGATGCTTCCTGGACCAGTTTCCCATGTTAAATGTGTGTAGGAAGTGGCATTGATGTTGTTTCCTGCATTCTGAGGCAGCAGAGCTCAGTTTTGCATAAAGGCTGAAACTTTTGTACAGTATGTGTTAATGAAGCTGAAGTTTGAATAGGCAGGGTGCATTTCTAGGCTGCTCCAGCAGTGGGGGGGGTTCTGGGTTCAGGTTTTTGTGGCTTATCTGTCATGATCAGTTATCAAATGTTTTTTTTTGGGTAGACTGAGCAGATTTTCTCGGAAGAGCTCGTGACAGTCCAGGAACAGCCGTGTGCTTACGCTGCAAGTGAAGGTTATCTCCCAGCTTGTTGCGTCTCATCTGGCCACTGGGTTTTATTTGGTGGCATTTACGCTTTGAGGGTCTGCTGGGCTGTTCTGTGGGCACTGTCCCTCCCTTCCCAGCCAGTTTGTATCTCATCATTGGTTTTCCTTTTACAGGAGTTATTTCACCCATTGCTGACAGCTCCTTTACTGTTCAAGCAGTGTTGAGCCAAAGACACGTGGTCTCTGTAATGAAATGCTAATCTGGTTTTTGGTGGTGATCAGCAAGTCTCATATTTGTACTATTAACATAGAAAAATGTTGGTGATGAATCTTACATTGTGAAGACTGAAATAAGATCATCCAGCTTCATAGAAGCTGTGTTGTTTTCTTCAAGCACATTGTGTCCTCATCTACTCTCTACTCAGAAGATCATAGAATCCCAGACTGGTTTGGGTTGGAAGGGCCCTTAAAGCTCATCCACTTCCAACCCTGTGCCACAGGCAGGGACACCTTTCACTAGGGCAGGTTGTTGTTCCAAGCCCCACTTGAGCCCTGTCAGGAGCCACCAAGGAGCTTAACACATGAGCACTCTTGCAACCGTGCTAAATAAACCCACGTCACTTCTGGAGGATCCTCCTTGCAGCGAGGAACTGCAGAGGTGGAAATCCACAGATTAGCTCCGGGTATCAACAGCACAACAGGCATGGGCCTTGTTCTTGCTTACGTTAAACCCATTTTACACCTCTTTGATGAATAACTTTGCTTGTGGTGCATGTGTGGTGCGATCACAGCTGGCTACGGGTGCCTCTCCAAACAAAAGCAGTGCTCTGCTGTCAGCCAGGTTCCTGCTCGCTCCTGGCAGGCAGCTGAGCCCTATGAGAGCCAGTCCAGTGGGTGGTTCAGCTCAGATCTGCTGTCTGGGAGGATGCGGTGGAGGAAGCCACATCAGTGGGAGCTCATGCAGCTTCATCGGTCAGATATCAGTATCGGGGCTCCTGGCTGCGACCACAGAAACTGTCCCTGGCCCTGCTGGAGACCCTGTGTGCCCCTGGGTGTGACATGGGATTTCTTTGATGCCCAGAGCTCACTGGTGGAACAGGCTTCTGAATGCACTCGTACAAGTGGTGGTGGCTGCAGATGCCTCGTGGGAAGGATCTTGCAAGACCTCAGTCTCCTCTTGGATTTCAGAGGGAAGCTTTTTTTTTGTAATGTGGTCAAGTTTCATGAGTTCCTTTTTGCCTTTTCTATCTTTTATGTCAATTTCGTATCTATATATACACACACATGCTGGATGCTTTCAGCAAAGAGCTGATGACTCAGGGCATCAGCCAGCTGCACTGCTCCAACTGCAAGACTGAAATTTCCAGCTCTAACAAGGGGATTAGGGAAGTGGTGACAACTCAAGGCTTTATGAGACTGTTATCAGCTTGCAGGTAAAGTTTATGTGAAACTCCCTTATGTTTATTAACACTTCCCACAATTCTGTTTTGGCTTTAAAAATGAAGAGGAAACACATTGAAGTGTAATTTGTGTGTGTCCCATGATTATAAACTAATGAGATGATGTTTAACAAGTAGAGTTTTGGGATGAGGGATGCTGTACGGAGGTCCTGAGCTTGCCTTTATGCTGGTTTAATGATGTGTTTGAGGCAGGACATCCATGGGTTTTATAAGTTGTAGTGAGGCTTAGCTGGGGATAGTTTCTTCTGGTTCCTGTGTTAGTCTGGCCTCTGATTTGAGTTACCTGGTGAGCTTGCTGTGGGATTGGTTCTCGTGCTGTCTTTGGAGTTAGGCCAGGCTTGTTTACAGAATCCAACTTGGGAGGTAAGCAGATCTTCTTGCTCTTAGGCTCTTCCTCATCTCCTCCAAGTATCTTGAACGTAACTTTGATGAAGCTTTCAGATTTTGAGGTGTTCAGGTTTCAGGTATAGAGTTCTGCCACTTGGGGTTGTCTGGTTCAAACCACCGGGCCTTTGCTCTTCCAAATGTTTTGGGGATGTGCTTGGAGAGATTAGAATAACTTGTCAAACGGCTTTCAGGTGTGCCTTGTGTGTTAGGCGTGGAGGAAAAATGTCCTGACAAAGGCAGAGACAGTTTTTGAAGTTCCTTTTATGTAAGCTTACAGGTCCACAGCAAGGAAAGGGTGGGGGGGATGCTGGTAAATGTTAATTTTTCCTGAATATAAGTTTAATATAGAAGCTTTAACTGCTGTAATGCTTGACTTGCGTGCATGGTTGAGGTGTGATTCACTGCCGGCCCTGGTGCCTATTTCCATCCTTTGGTCCTTTTTCTAAAGAGGAAAACTGTTTCAAAAATAATAGCTTCTCTTGGCCTTTGTGAAAACAAAGCCATCCCTAACCACATCACGCTCTGCGTGCAACAAGCAAGAGCTTTTTGTAGTGATCTTGTGATGCCTGGGAAATAATACAAACGGAGAGTCTCGGCTTGCGGGTGTGTTTTGGCTGCCGCCTCCCTGAATTGTGGAAACCCAAGTTACTGCCGGTTTGAAATCACTGTGGATTTGAAAGATGAAACTCAGCAGCCCAGCTCCTGGTGTGGGCTGAGTGGGGATGAAAGGGAGTTTCCCCTCGAGTGGAAGGAGCCCTCTGTGCTTCTGCACCATGTCCAGCTCCACCACGGTCTCTGCTTCTCTGTCTCTGGAGCAATGGGCAGCCTTTGCCAAGCGCTGGGGCAGTCCCAGGGGCACGGAGCTCAGCTCAGCTTTGTTCTTTTTGCTCCTGGCTTTTTCCTTTCCTTTCTTTTCTCTTGTGAAGGGCTGGTATTTTTAGCTGGACGGAAACCAGCACTTCTTCAGCTCAGGGTGGAGTTGGTGTGTGCGTGCTGTATGATGGGTTATGTAAGTAAACATACAGGTTTGCATTATTATCTATAATGCTTGTTCTGTAGGTGTTCTGCAGCGTGTTCCTGGGGTAGGGGCAGCAAAGCACTGTGCTTCCTTCAGCAGTGAGGTTTAACTGAGTGCCTCGTGACCCTGCGGGAGAGCACGGGCAGGGTTAAGCTCTGAAACACCTTTGTTGATTCCAGCAGGCCACATTGCCATTGCTGTGCTTCGTGATGGAGCATTCTCCAGTTCTCCTCAGGGGCACTGAGGGAGCTTGTGCTGTGCGTGGCTTTGAGGGGAAAAGTAGGCTGTGTCTGTGATCTTTCTGAAGATTGAATCTCTTATGTAGCTGTTGTTTCTCAATGAGAGCAACCTGCTCTTCTGTTCCATCAAACCTTGAAGGGAAGGTGGCCAAAGCCACCTGATGGGCAGAGAACAGTGCCCTCAGGCTTGGCCAAGGGGATGGAAGTGGTGGAAGGGGACTGGGAGCCAATGTAGCTTGGTCATTTGGCTGATAATACTGCTCCACACTTAGTTTGTGTTCACAGTGGCTCTGTATGGAGCAGAAGGGACTTTGTAGTGAGCTGAAACACAGCTGCTTGTGTGCTCCTCAGTCTGTGCTCCCATGGGTGCAGGAAGCATTCACATCCCCTTCATCAGTTCATTCTGCGTCGGGAACCTTATGAGTCACCCTCACCTCGGCACGTGCGTGGTTAACTGCAGAGCTGCTGTTCTGCTTCAAGGTCCTCTTTCCTGTGTCCGTTTCTGTCTCATCACCCAACAGTATTTTCCTCTAATTGTATTTCCCCCTCCCTCATTTTACCAAGCACTTTGTATTTTGCCTTTTCCCGTCAGCTTGAGCCACTGGTTTTGCTGACAGCAGTGAAGGTGGCCGCCTGCCATTGCTGCGTGCTTCTGTTGCCTACCTTGAAAGAGAGGAAACTGCACTCTGAGGTGTTCCTTGTTATAACTAAATTAAGCTTCTTCCTGAAAAGTTGAGGCCGGGGCACGCAGCTGTCATGACTTGCTGCTCCCTGCTTGGAGCTGGTGTTGCAGGCAGTGTTTGCATTGCAGTTCTGTACCTGCTGTCAATGGGAGTGTTGGCCACAGCCTTAATTACACCTGGGTGAACAGAACTGCTCTGCGTTCATCCTGTGCCGGTGCTTAGGAATCACCCCTGCTCTGTGCGGGGGGAGGATCGAGGTCTCAGTGAAATGGTGATGGGGCTGCAGGCTTTGGTCCTTCCCACAGTGCAGGTCAGTGTCATAGAATCCCAGCCTGGTTTGGGTTGAAGGGACCTCCAAGCTCATCCACGGGCAGGGACACCTTCCACTGGAGCAGCTTGCTCCAAGCCCCGGTGTCCAACCTGGCCTTGGACACTGCCTGGGATGGGGCAGCCACATGGCAGCTTGTGGCTGCAGCAGCTCCTCAGGGCTGGCTTCAGGCTTCATAGTTCTTCCCAATGGCTCAGGATCCCCGAGCCTGTTGCCACCTGGAAGCATTCCCGGGCTCTATGCAGGACCTGTGCTCTGCACTCCTGCAGTGGATAAGCTCTCTGCATTCTCCTCACTAGAAAACCCTTTTTTTCCAATATAACTTGCATTCAAATGTCACTGACTTATTTTTTCCCCTCCTTCCTAGACTGACTGCATTGCCATGGAAACCATTGTGGGAAGAGAAGACTTTTCTGCTGGTAACTCCAGAAACTGTGTGGTGCTTTTGGAAGCAAAGCTCAGCTCCAGCCGGCTACTTTCATTTCCACCAGCACGGGCATGGACACACATCCTTTTAATTAATTTCTCTTCATAGACATCAGCTCTCTACAGTTGAATTGATTTGAATTGAGATTCATTTTTTTTGTCATAGCTGTGCTTTGGTGATGGAATTTGGTCTTTCATGTCCTATCTATTTGGGAGGCAGTGTGAATGCTAATAGGAGATCCCTGTATGCCCCTTTCTTCCTCCTGCCTCTCCCGTTAATCATTGTTTTTATTTATATTCTGAGAAGTCAAAGCTGGTTTCTGGCTGTCTGTTTAACATGGGGGTTGCTTCTCTGGTACATTAACAAGTGGTTAGCTTAAAACATGTATTGTTTAGGAATCTTTTGGCAGTTCTGGATTTCTTCAGGTGGCCGGGCAGAAGCAGGGGTGCATGGAGGCATGGATGGATGGATGGATGGATTCATGGATGGATGGATGGCTGGAGAGGTGCACATCAGTTGGGGGTGACCCCAGGCACTGACTGGGTCTGAGAAGAAGGAAAGGCCTCTTCTGCCTTTTTTTCCCCCTCTCTTTATTTAAGGTTTTGCTTTATGGTACAAGAGGTGTTTCTCGATCATAGGCTAGAGTGTTCTAACTCAAATGTCTGCCAGAGCTTAAACTGAGTTACTTTGTTTGCTCAGAATCTTGGTATGTACAAGGTAGGATTAATGGGCTGGTTGTCTTGTAAATTGTTTTGTTCTTACCCTTGAGATGCTTGTTTATAAATACGATTGTGTCAAATGAGGTTTCTGTTGGTGCATTCGAATGGGGAGCTGCAGGGTGGGACCCAGCGTGTGAGACTCCTGCATTATACTTTTCAGCTGTAGCTTTCTGAAGAAGAACCACCCCGATTGATCTTATTTTCAGGCAAAGTCCCATCTTAAATCTGGGACTGTTTCTGTTCTTCCTGGCATAATGGGGGGGGGAAGGAAAAGGTGGGCTCATCAGCTGTTGTTTCCCACTCCCACAAAGGTGAGCGATGACCATTTGAAGTAAGCCCTGGTTTCTCTACAATTTAAGTGCTTCACTCCTGTACTGATTTATTTGGGGGGGGGGGGGTGGGTGTTTGAAATGAGTTTTGAGCACTGCTATAGAGTGTGACACGAGGTGTTGGTACGTGCGGTGTGTGATAAAAACCACTGATGACTGATGAAGGGTTTGGAAGCGGTACGTGAATCCTCGTGCTGTTCTGCACCACGCCGCTGGTACATCCTCCTCGGTGTGTATTGTACAACTGACCCGTCAGGCTGCCTCACCTCCAACATACAACCTTAAGATTGCTGGGACAGTTCACACAACCAATCGGACACTGTCGGCTTGGATTGCTCGGTGATGGGTACCCAAATCTATTTTTGAGTAGTATTAAAGTGTACACGTCATTAAAATACAAAGGCTTTTGTTTTGGAAACATGGTAGCAATCAGTTTACACAGTATCTAGTGACAGGCAAAACTGTTGCTACAGGGTTTAAAAGCACAGTCCCCTTTTGGATTCTGGAAGAGGAGTTTCACTTGGTACAGATACTTGTTGCTGCTAAACATGAATTGAAACTAAGACCACTCTTACAGACCACGTTACTGTCTCGCCATATAGCTTCTGTTTGGCCTCTTAAATTAATACTGCAATACATACAGAGCTTTTCATAAAGCTGTACATCTTTTCTAAGAAATCAAAATTTGGATGGAGATTGTTGTAAACAATGTGAAAGGAAGAGGTGGTTTTGAAGACATTTGTTACATACTTACTTCAGATTAGATCCCTGAGGCTGCCATTGTACAATATACAGCACTGATTTAATAAATGCTGAATAAATAAGTAAATGGGTAACCTCAAATGTAGTGGTACAAATACTAATAGGTACGGCATAATAAATATGCAATCTTTTTGAATCTCTTAGTTTACAGCAACTAATTTATTCAGTATTGTGCTGGAAGAACATTTTTGGATGATGTAAAACATATCACTCTCTATACTACCTTCCAGCTACCCGTTTATGCTGCTGTATAGTACAGAAATACCAATGATAGAACAATGTTTGTCCTGTAAATTTAATTTGATATTGGACAGTTCTTGTCTGTACAAACTAAAAACATATATGGTTGAAACTGTTCATTATATTTGCTATTTCTGCTTCACAGATCTGTTTGAGAGTCGAGCTGATCGATCTGGCTTTGTCTTCCATTGTAAATAGTGTTCCGTTGTTTTCTTTGTAAAACACATCGCGTTGGCGGTTTTGGGAGACTGGCTTGAAGCTCTGTATAGTGTTTATATTTATCTGACTTGGCTTTCCATAGAGCTACTTGCAGTAAATACGTGTTCATGTAGCTCCGTGTCTGTGTTTTGTTTCGAACTGAACCGGGGTGTGTGTGTGTGTGTGTGTGTGTGCCCAAAGAGCATTTCCTGCTGTGCGTGCTGGTTCCTTCTTCAAGTGGTTTTGTCCACTCTGTGTCCCTGGAGGATCTGGAGCAGCTTCTAGTGCCTGTCAGGGGTGAGTCACAGCCTGTCCGGTTCTCCCTGCCTTTATGCTTGGTGTGAAAGGTAACACAGAGCAAAACACCCGGTTTGACACAGTCATGGTGCTGGTAAACAACTGAGCTGCTGAATGAAACAAACCCAGCCACTGCCCCATTCCTGCTTGTTCTGCTTTAACCATGGTCCGTGACTGCGTTTGGAGGTTCTGTGATCAAAAAGGACTAAGTCCTGGAAGGAATTGTTAGTGTTGTGGGATCAAGTATGTTCCTGTCTTTAGGGTAGAAGGGAAGGAGTGTGGTTTGCTGTTGGGAGTTTTGTTGTAATCCTTAGGTTTGATATGTGTTTAATAGGTCTCAGTAAAACCGAAGCCTGTGGAGATACCTCGTCGTTTCAGGTAATGCCCCCACTTCCAAAACCAGCTGAACTTCAGCTGGAAAATACCAGCAAAATGTAGTGTCAGTTCAAGTTCCTTACCCTCCTGAAGGAAGTGTTGAGCATTCTGTATAGGAGGAGGTTTTGTCCGTAGGTTTGACTGTGTTTGAGTGCCATAAACGCGGGTGAGTGCTGTGAAATGGCTGGGATTAGGTTGCTTTAAAAACACCTGATTTAATTCTGACCCTGTTACTTGGGGTCGTGTGTTATAACAGCTCCCTGTGAGAGTCAGGTTCATTGTAAGAAAGGGGTTTTCCTCCAACAAACCCCCCTTCTCAGGGCCTCATTTTACAGCGTGGGGCCTATAGGGGGAAGAGAAAGAGAACAGTGCTGCTGGTCCATGGCAGGAACAGCCCTCCCAGCAGTAAACAAACACTGAGAGTTATCCAAACACTGTCAAGACTGTTGCAAGCCTCACAATCACTGCTCCAAGAGACCCTTGAATGTCTCATTGATCTGAAATGGGCTGACTGCTGGAGGCTTTAGTGTTGGGAGGGGGGACAGTGACATAGTTCTGCCCTGAGTTTTCAAACCCTTTGGGTGAACCATTGACAGAATGCTCTGGCTGCTGAAGGATGGAGAAAGGCCTCGATTAAAACCAGAAGGCAAGTCAGATTTCCAGTCTGAAGACAGGCACTTGAATGCACATTGAAAGTCTTTGTTTAGAAATGCACTGACCAATTCTAATGGACCTTGCAGCACTGGAACTGATCAGGAAGGAGCAGCAGGGAAGGACCTTCTCAGAGTTACCAGGTAATGATACGAGTTCTATTGCATGTTGTTCATCCCTGCATCCTCTGTTGGTCACAGCAATAGTGTTCCCTTGAATATAAAGAAGTTTTTCCCCTTGTTTTTCCATGAGGGGTTGTGAAGCACCGCATCTCAGGGGAGAACAGGAACACAGAGCTTGCTGTGCGGATCTGGGAGGTAAAAAAGAGCTGCTTTCACATTCTCTTACGACAGAAACACCCCAAGCTCGCTTCCTTTACTAAGTTAGAACTTCTAAAGCAGTGTCACAGCTATAGGAGACTGTCAGGCAATGGAGCTCAGTGGGCACTGCAGCTGCCTGCTGGCACTGTCCCCTCGGCCATCACCCTGTGCTACACCCAGAAGAGGCTGCAGTGAGTACCTCTGCTGAAGACAGCAGTTTGCTCTACCAAGTAGTTACTCCTCATCTCGCTGTTCTTAGGCAGTGGCCAGGCACCTGCCTGGTACAAGTGGGTTGAGTTAATAACCTTTCTATCAAAAGCGAGTAGTTCTAGATACTTACCCTACATTTTAAATGTAGAACACTGTTAGTGCTCCCTTGAGCTACTCGCTGCTCCCAACATCCATCAGCAATAGTGTCCTGCTTTCTGTCAGTGAGATAGCCTGGAAAGACTTCAGGTTATCCTGTCCTCTAGCACAACTTTCAGCCTGTGCTTCTAGGGGCAGTAGCCATAGCAGCAGCAGGAGTGTTGCGTGTCCAGCAATGGTGATGGGTTGTCAGAGGGTAAAACCAGAACTTTTCTGTTCAGGACATGTAGTGCTGCTCACAGCAGAACAGTCCTAAATGTGGCAGTGACCTTCCCTCAGTGGTGGCCCTAGGACGGCGCTGCAGTACAGGTCAGGCTGCACATGGACTGCACAATACTTCAGCTGGGTAACAAAAGCTAATTGCAGATCAAATTTTAGCGATTGAGCATTTGCTGCCTGCAAAACCAATGCATCGCTCCTGCAAGCTCTAAAACTGCTTTTAAAATGGGTATTTTCTTCCCCCATTAATGTGAGGAATTCTCATTATAGCAGGGACTTGACCTTCACAACAGGACAAAACGTGTAAGAGCTTCTGAAGCACGAAGTTTGCATGTAGTGACGTAGTCCATGGCACAGAAACGTTGCTGCCCTGCCCTGTGCCCATTCTGCTTTGCAGGCTGGACTTTGGCTGCAGAATCGTTTCAGGAGTTCAAATCACAGTCACAGAATGGTTGGGGTTGAAAGGGACCTTCATAAAGAGCATCCAGTTCCAATCCCTTAAATCCCAATTTAAAATGATTTAGAGGCTGAGGAAGGCTTTTCCCTTTTAGTCAAGGATTATAATAGTACTTTCTAGCATGAAGGAAGGTACTGAGAAGCCTGTCTTAAGCAGGACTTTGTTCCTTAATACTAGGATAGTATCAATCCAAGGTTATGCTAAGGTTCCCGAGTTGGGGATTTGTGAACGAGTATCCTTTAGGAAGTTGCATCTTTTCCACTCATCATCCCAGTAGCAGTTGCCAGTACAGCACCTGCAGCAAGCCACAGGAACTGGGTAGTGAGCAGAGAGAGCTAATGCACTCTTCTAAAAGTCATTGCTGCATGTGGGCACTTC